GGAAACTTATGATTACTACTCATGTTCTGCTTGACGATGATCTGGTGATTAATTTTTGGACTACAATGGAGCACTTACTATTTATCATCACATACATATGATATATCAGTCGAAAACATATCAAACATCAAATGCCACCGTTAATTGTAGTTAAGGAGCCTTACCGATTGTAACAACATACAATTATCTCATCTCTCAAACATCTGAGTACTAACCGACTGCTAACTTCATATGTTCAAATAATGGTCTGCTTTCTCCGGTGCTTTCAATTAGCTTGCTAATACAGATCTAACAGGAGGCCGACACTTGGGATTAGGATTCTGTCGACGATACATAATAACTAATTATTGTAGCGTAAAATTCCCACTAAAGCAAATACAACTACTAGTATCATTCACCAGTTAGTGCTATTTCAGTGTGACTTACTAAATCATTTTTATGTTAAATTATTAGTGACTATGCTAATTCATTTTACTCTTAAATAGACTTCATGGCATTTTTACACATGTTAATAATAAGTCAACAATTCTAATTCACTATTTACTGGTCCACTGACATTTCCTCATTTTCATTTATTCTTCAACTGGTTAATATCCGGTAAAAATGTTATTAATGGCTTGATGACTAACTTCAGCACGCTATATTGCCTCCACTCAGTATGAAACATTATTTTCCAGCAGATTTACAGCAACTACAAATTTCAGTACTGTATTTTCATTCTCGTGATAAATTTTGCAAGAATTAGACCAATTTATTTCACCGCTTCATTAAAGATGTCGTAAAGTCACTGAGTGCAACCTCATATGAAAGTTCACGAAGTTAGGCAGAATGTACATGCCTTTATAACATTCTACAATAATAAATTCATTTTCAAGAAGTTCATTATAACAGTAATCTACCATATTCAAGACACAACGGTCTACCAGTTTTTGTTCTCATATATTGTTGACACCATTATTGTAAGAACTACTAGTACAAATGCGAATTCCGTAACTAGAAAAAACAAGAGCATTTCAGATTACCTAGACACTTTTCATGGATAGTTTCAGGATACAATCGATCATCAACTGTCTAGTCTGAATAAAGTGTGACATCCTAGACACACCGTAGCTAGAAAATCGTAGTTAGTAGCCATTAAATCCGCTAAAATGTTATGGATAGTACCTTCCAAGTCATGCAGCATCAAAAGGTTTGGAATCTGGATGTATAGAATGCATTATCCACAAAATAGCAGACGAGTCCAAAAAATTTCATAGAGCAATGAAAAGCACAACTCTAAATCTGAGGAGTGCAAAAATAACTAGACAGACATTCAAAAGTCATTAATAGCTGCTTCCCTAGTTCGTATAATAATTAAGGAATGGATTTCCGATATAACGGACGAATTCAGATAGATTTCTCTCTGCGGTATTCTATGCTAAGACGGTAATAAGACTGGGCTGGATAACCGAGTTTATACTACTTCAGGATAAAATACTCGAACGATCCTCCATACACATGTAGATCACATTATATCAGATACAAGATTCATGATCACGAATAGAAAACTGGAGTACAAATTATACAATACTTTGTGCCTTACAATTACAAGTAGTCACTCTCAGTGGGTCTGGAGTAGAAATCAATAAAAATTAAAGGGAATCACACATTTAATAGTCAGTAAGTTCTGTGTCTCTTTGTCCAAACTCAGTGACCAACCACACTTTCACTACCACATATCAATCTCATAAATAACTCGTAAACAGAGCAAACTAATGAATCTTGAAGAGACGGGATACAGAAGATAGTCGAAGTGCAACAAAAGGTTCTGATGAAGAAATGATACTTGTAAACCATTGAAGAACGAATACGTGTATTTTTTTCTGAACTTCCTGAAGTTTAACTGTATCAAGAAAATAGCCAATGAATCTTCTGAAAGAAAAGTAACTCTTTGTCAAAGCTTTAAGAAATCAATATCGAATTCATTTATTAATGGTAAAAAACATTTTCATTTACGTAGATGGCCGATCCAAAAGAATCAATCCCAAGTATAGCATATGCTCTAGAAGGAGTTGTAAATTTAAAAAAAGCCTAAATTGAATCAAGCAAATTTTCTACTTAAATCCTAATTTCGTCATCCAATTGGTAAATCTTGTACTTGATCCTAAGAATAAAGTCGGACTTTATACAGGGACTTTTGAAAATTTTTTACCTCTAATTGCCATTTAGGAATTGATCACAATGGTGTAGTGTATACACTCTCTGTCCCGACGTGCGATGTTCAGTGGTATAGGAGTAGGTTGAAAGAAAGCTAGGGGAGGCCAGAACAAACTTGGCGCAAGTCCATAAAGTCACTGACAAGTGGACTGAGTCAGATTGGTAGGTGTAGACTAACTGGTTGGGGACCGCGAGATGATAGCAACCGATGGTTAGAGACCCTGAATGACATGGCTCAAAATCGCTTGCAATGGCGCAGGTGCATCCACTCTCTGTGTTCTCCCAAATTCTAATCTCCTGATTCCTCCTTGTCTCTTTTCTTCTCTTTCCAAATTTGTTTCACTGAATTATACTCCTTGAATAACATCTCAAAACCCTAATCTTTCCGACCACTGCCTACACTCTTTCTACCTCTACCACTGTGCGATTCGAATAGACAACTGCACCTCTGTGCTAATGTGGTATGGCAACTCGAACTGATGTACGTACGTACAAAGTTCTACTTTGTCACTGGCTGACTGGATATCTCTATACACAATCTTTATTTTATACATCACTCCCACTGAAGTGACTACTATGAATTTGGTGTACATCTTGTTTTTGCTAATGAGGTGTGGCAACTTGGACCGATGTATATACGTGTCTGGTCCTACATTGTAGCTGATTGACTGACTTATGCGAACCATTGATATGATACAGTACATGATATGTTATTCATAAATTAATTATTTTGCCTTTAATTCCATTACCATATAATACTTATGCACTACAATTTACATAGTCATTATGATTCTTTCTTTTTTACCATTTAGTAGTATTGTGGTGTGAGCTACTTATATTGATATAAGTAGTATATAACGTGCGTTAAAAGAACGTAATGTCCGGCAGCAGAAGATGGCGAAGATCGAGAAAGGAAGAGCAAGAGCACAATGGAATTGTAAGAAAACGCATGTACAATGGAATGGGCGACAATGGATTAGTGTTTGCAACGGGAACAGTACAGTTTGATATGATGGAATGATATTTTGCAAATTGACGATTGACTTTATGGTATTCACATTTTATTGAGATAGTCTGTAATCTTTGTGCTAAATACAATCGATTGTCCCCACCCGTGTTCTTGTTCACTACATTTGGTGTCGCTGCCAACCAGGAGAGGAGGAGTGTGCTGTTCTGCGGACGCCGTTGCGGGCCTGGAGTTGGGGTGCCAGTTGGGGCAGTCTGGTGCGGAGAGGTGGCGTCTGGTGAAGTGTCCTGGCGGGGCTGCGTTGGCTGTAGCGGGTGCTGTCGACGGAGTGGAGCTTCGGGACGCGCGGCTGCTGGGCGGACATCGGATGTAGATGGCTCAGCAGGCCGGTGGAGTGCGGATGTCAAGCGTCCCAGGTGCCGGATGGATGTTGGTTGTTGTTACCCCGGCAGGTCGACAGAGCTGTGGAAGCCAGCGCGCCGCAGACTCGACATCTTGACGGAGAGCGTGGCACAGACTGCAGAGACGGAGAATGTTGCGCGGCGAGCATGAACCACCACAAGAACGACTGCCTTATGGGGGGGGACGAGTGTGGTGTGAGCTACTTATATTGATATAAGTAGTATATAACGTGCGTTAAAAGAACGTAATGTCCGGCAGCAGAAGATGGCGAAGATCGAGAAAGGAAGAGCAAGAGCACAATGGAATTGTAAGAAAACGCATGTACAATGGAATGGGCGACAATGGATTAGTGTTTGCAACGGGAACAGTACAGTTTGATATGATGGAATGATATTTTGCAAATTGACGATTGACTTTATGGTATTCACATTTTATTGAGATAGTCTGTAATCTTTGTGCTAAATACAATCGATTGTCCCCACCCGTGTTCTTGTTCACTACATTTGGTGTCGCTGCCAACCAGGAGAGGAGGAGTGTGCTGTTCTGCGGACGCCGTTGCGGGCCTGGAGTTGGGGTGCCAGTTGGGGCAGTCTGGTGCGGAGAGGTGGCGTCTGGTGAAGTGTCCTGGCGGGGCTGCGTTGGCTGTAGCGGGTGCTGTCGACGGAGTGGAGCTTCGGGACGCGCGGCTGCTGGGCGGACATCGGATGTAGATGGCTCAGCAGGCCGGTGGAGTGCGGATGTCAAGCGTCCCAGGTGCCGGATGGATGTTGGTTGTTGTTACCCCGGCAGGTCGACAGAGCTGTGGAAGCCAGCGCGCCGCAGACTCGACATCTTGACGGAGAGCGTGGCACAGACTGCAGAGACGGAGAATGTTGCGCGGCGAGCATGAACCACCACAAGAACGACTGCCTTATGGGGGGGGACGAGTGTGGTGTGAGCTACTTATATTGATATAAGTAGTATATAACGTGCGTTAAAAGAACGTAATGTCCGGCAGCAGAAGATGGCGAAGATCGAGAAAGGAAGAGCAAGAGCACAATGGAATTGTAAGAAAACGCATGTACAATGGAATGGGCGACAATGGATTAGTGTTTGCAACGGGAACAGTACAGTTTGATATGATGGAATGATATTTTGCAAATTGACGATTGACTTTATGGTATTCACATTTTATTGAGATAGTCTGTAATCTTTGTGCTAAATACAATCGATTGTCCCCACCCGTGTTCTTGTTCACTACAGTATTAACAATTATAACACATTTCTACTGTTTTAACAAATGAATACATGTAAGAATGTTTATGAAAATAAAACTTCACATTGAAAAAGATAAAACATGATTATGGCAACATGTAGCCAAAAGTACAATTTCTAGAACTATTTACAAAATTCAATTTAATTAGAAACAATCAAACAAACAAACAATCTACCAATTTTAAAGTAACTGAGATGGACATGATTGAGAATGATAAGCATGAATCAATTCAAATAAATCTTCTTCTGTACATGTAGATTTACGAATGAATTGTTGACGTATAATTAAAGCTAAAAGTGTATTTAATTCTAATAGTATTGCATCATTATATACCCATTCACTTGATCCAACCTTTCAATGAAATAAAATAATTATTCATTAAATAATTACTGGGTTTTTTTTTAACTCTCATTAAGAGAATATTCAATAAGAATTATCGAAATTTGTTAAAATTGAGTAAACACAATCTTTAGACTAAACAATCTATCAACACACTTTGAAACATGAAGTTTAAGTTAAATTTTCATGTATACTTATCAGTAATTGATATTGAAAACAACTACCTGAGATCTTATTGAAATCAATTGATTGATTAAAACATATCACTAAATAACGAATCATATTGTGCAATGACTTGATCGATAACTAAAATACTGATTACTAGGATTTCGATAAACAGTTTTAAGCTCAACACACTCACGGAAATAAATAGACTTCGAGTAGTGTAGATCATTAGAAAAGCCTGAAGAATCACGGGTGATGAGGTACATACTATCTAGTAAACTTTAGTTCCTAGTTGTTACCTCCTTGTTATGAGAATGATATAGTAGAGCAACCAGACATATAATAAAATTACAGGTTACCACTTCCAAAATTTTATATGAACTGTAGAGCTCACTAACTGCATTCGAGAAATATCAAGGCCATAGCGCAATCTTGAACGGTTTCAAATGAATGATACTGCAAAACAATTAACCGCAGCTTTCAGCATCATCGACACAACATGCACAGAACGACAAATTGCATATTGCCTTAATCACATTACAAGATAACTCTCCCTGAAGCTGTTCTAGAGTTACTGACGGTCCCAAGCCCGGGTAAAGGAGGAGAATTGGGCATGGAGTTAGCGACCCCATCCCGTAGAAAACTAACTCGCTAAAAAAACGCTAACCAGAAAAAATAATTCAAACCATTTAAACTCTGCCCTGGGAGTTAGAAGGTCTTCATTTAGAAGAAATATGACGCCTCATGATGAAAGCCGAATTCCTTCAGAAGTTACGAGGCCGATGCCCCTTCTGACAACCAGAGCAACCATTTATTTAGGTACATGGAACGTCCGAACAATGTGGGAGACCGGGAAGACCAGTCAAATAGCAACGGAAATGAGGAGATACAACTTGGCATTACTGGGAATCAGCGAAACCCATTGGATCCAAGCTGGATAACAAAGGCTAAATACAGGAGAGATGCTGCTATACTCCGGCTGCGAAGAGAAAAATGCTCCACACACTCGGAGTTGCTCTAATGCTGTCCAAAGTAGCACGAAATGCACTTGTAGGATGGGAATCTCACGGATCCAGAATCATCAAAGCATCATTCAAAACAAAGAAGGAGGGGATCACAATGAATATTATCCAATGTTATGCACCCACCAATGATAGCAACGACGACATTAAAGATCAATTCTACGATAGGCTGCAACCAATCATAGAGAAGTGCCCAAGAAAGGACCTCACCGTTCTGATGGGAGATCTAAATGCCAAGGTCGGAATAGACAACACCGGATATGAAGATATCATGGGACGACATGGACTGGGAGAAAGAAACGAAAATGGAGAAAGATTTGCAAATTTGTGTGCATTCAACAAATTAGTCATAGGAGGCACAATATTTCCACGCAAACGTATACACAAGGCTACATGGATCTCACCGGACCACACTACAGAGAACCAGATAGATCATATTTGCATCAATAAAAAATTCCGAAGGACAATGGAAGATGTGAGAACCAGGAGAGGAGCTGACGTAGCTTCAGATCACCACCTAGTTGTAGCCAATTTAAAACTGAAGCTAAAGAAAAACTGGACAAGTGGACAAACAGCACTACAAAGGTTCAATACAGCCTTCCTTCGAGATACTGACAAACTCAATGAATTCAAGATAGCTCTCAACAACAGGTTCCAAGCCTTACAAGATCTACTGAAGGAAGAAGAAACTACTATGGAGGACAACTGGAAAGGCATCAAAGAAGCATTAACTTCAACGTGTCAAGAGGTTCTGGGCCTAAAGAAACACCATCATAAGGAATGGATCTCTATAGAAACACTGGACAAGATCAAAGAAAGGAAGAACAAGAAGGCAGCAATTAACAACAGCCGAACACGAGCAGAGAAAGTCTAAGCACAAGCTGAATACATAGAAGCAAACAAGCAAGTGAAGAAGAGCATTAGAGCCGACAAGAAGAAATACGTGGAAGAACTAGCAACGACGGCAGAAAAAGCTGCTAGAGAAGGAAATATGAAACAGCTTTACGATACAACGAAGAAACTAGCAGGGAAATACAGTAAACCAGAGAGGCCGGTCAAAGACAAAGAAGGCAAGCCAATCACTGAAATTCAACAACAGCGGAACAGATGGGTAGAATACTTCGAGGAACTCCTGAATAGGCCGGCTCCAATGAATCCACCGGACATCGAAGCAGCACACACAGATCTTCCTATAGATGTCAACCCACCAACGACGGAAGAAATTAGAATGGCCGTCAGACAAATCAAGAACGGGAAAGCAGCAGGACCCGACAACATACCAGCTGAAGCACTGAAATCAGACATCGAAGCAACCACAAGCATGCTTACCTTCTATTCAAAAAGATTTGGGAGGAGGAACAAGTGCCGATGGACTGGAAAGAAGGACACCTCGTCAAGATTCCAAAGAAAGGAGATCTGAGCAAATGTGAAAACTACAGAGGCATTACACTACTGTCAATACCAGGGAAAGTCTTCAACAGAGTGTTGCTGAACCGGATGAAGGATGCAGTAGACGCCCAACTTCGAGATCAACAAGCTGGATTCCGTAAGGATCGGTCGTGCACAGACCAAATTGCAACACTACGGATCATCGTCGAACAATCAGTTGAGTGGAACTCATCACTATACATCAACTTCATTGATTATGAAAAGGCATTCGACAGTGTAGATAGGAGGACATTATGGAAACTTCTTCGACACTACGGAGTTCCTGAGAAGATTGTCAACATTATCCGGAACTCATACGACGGACTACAGTGCAAAGTAGTGCATGGAGGACAGCTGACAGATGCATTCCAAGTAAGGACTGGAGTCAGACAAGGCTGTTTACTCTCTCCCTTCCTCTTTCTTCTTGCGGTCGACTGGATTATGAGGACCTCGACACCTGAAGGAAAATAAGTTTCCATAACGTCATCCTATCTACACTGTCAAATGCCTTTCCATAATCAATGAAGTTGATGTATAGTGACGAGTTCCACTCAACTGATTGTTCGACGATGATCCGTAGTGTTGCATGTCGGTCTGTGCACGACCGATCCTTTCGGAATCCAGCTTGTTGATCTCGAAGTTGGGCGTCTACTGCATCTTTCATCCGATTCAGCAACACTGTTGAAGACCTTCCCTGGTATTGACAGTAGTGTAATGCCTCTGTAGTTTTCACATTTGCTCAGATCTCCTTTCTTTGGAATCTTGACGAGGTGTCCTTTCCAGTCCATCGGCACTTGTTCCTCCTCCCAAATCTTTTTGAATAGAAGGTGAAGCATGTTTGTAGTTACTTCGGTGTCTGACTTCAGTGCTTCAGCTGGTATGTTGTCGGGTCCTGCTGCATTCCCGCTCTTGATTTGTCTGATGGCCATTCTGATTTCTTCCATCGTTGGTGGGTTGACATCTCTAGGAAGATCTGTGTGTGCTGCTTCGATGTCCGGTGGACTCATTGGAGCCGGCCTATTTAGAAGTTCCTCGAAGTATTCTACCCATCTGTTCCGCCGTTGTTGAACTTCAGTGATTGGCTTGCCTTCTTTGTCTTTGACCGGTCTCTCTGGTTTACTGTATTCCCCTGCAAGTTTCTTCATTGAATAGTAAAGCTGTTTCATATTTCCTTCCCTTGCAGCTTTTTCCGCCGTCGTTGCTAGTTGTTCCACGTACTTCTTCTTGTCGGCTCTAATGCTCTTCTTCACTTGCTTGTTTGTTTCTATGTACTCAGCTTGTGCTTAGACTCTCTGCTCGTGTTCGGCTGTTGTTAATTGCTGCCTTCTTGTTCCTCCTTTCTTTGATCTTGTTCAGAGTTTCTATAGAGATCCATTCCTTATGATGGTGTTTCTTTAGGCCCAGAGCCTCTTGAGACGTTGAAGTTAATGCCTCTTTGATGCCTTTCCAGTTGTCCTCCATAGTAGTTTCTTCTTCCTTCAGTAGATCTTGTAAGGCTTGGAACCAGTTGTTGAGAGCTATCTTGAATTCATTGAGTTTGTCAGTATCTCGAAGGAAGGCTGTATTGAACCTTTGTAGTGCTATTTGTCCAGTTGTCCAGTTTTTCTTTAGCTTCAGTTCTAAATTGGACACAACTAGGTGGTGATCTGAAGCTATGTCAGCTCCTCTCCTGCTTCGCACATTTTCCATTGTCCTTCGGAACTTTTTATTGATGCAAATATGATCTATCTGGTTCTCTGTAGTGTGGTCCAGTGAGATCCATGTAGCCTTGTGTATACGTTTGCGTGGAAATATTGTGCCTCCTATGACTAATTTGTTGAATGCACACAAATTTGCAAATCTTTCTCCATTTTCGTTTCTTTCTCCCAGTCCATGTCGTCCCATGATATCTTCATATCCGGTGTTGTCTATTCTGACCTTGGCGTCTAGACCTCCCATCAGAACGGTGAGATTCTTTCTTGGGCACTTCTCTATGATTGGTTGCAGCCTATCGTAGAATTGATCTTTAATGTCGTCGTTACTATCATTGGTGGGTGCATATCATTGGATAATATTCATTGTGATCCCCTCCTTCTTTGTTTTGAATGATGCTTTGATGATTCTGGATCCATGAGATTCCCATCCTACAAGTGCATTTCGTGCTACTTTGGACAGCATTAGAGCAACTCCGAGTGTGTGGAGCATTTTTCTCTTCGCAGCCGGAGTATAGCAGCATCTCTCCTGTATTTAGCCTTTGTTATCCAGCTTGGATCCAATGGGTTTCGCTGATTCCCAGTAATGCCAAGTTGTATCTCCTCATTTCCGTTGCTATTTGACTGGTCTTCCCGGTCTCCCACATTGTTCGGACGTTCCATGTACCTAAATAAATGGTTGCTCTGGTTGTCAGAAGGGGCATCGGCCTCGTAACTTCTGAAGGAATTCGGCTTTCATCATGAGGCGTCATATTTCTTCTAAATGAAGACCTTCTAACTCCCAGGGCAGAGTTTAAATGGTTTGAATTATTTTTTCTGGTTAGCGTTTTTTTAGCGAGTTAGTTTTCTACGGGATGGGGTCGCTAACTCCATGCCCAATTCTCCTCCTTTACCCGGGCTTGGGACCGTCAGTAACTCTAGAACAGCTACAGGCGGAGTTGATAGTGATATTATTATCAGCTTATTTGTGTATCCAAATAAAAAGTTAAGTCACATTAACAGTATATGGACATTGTGAGATTATGATAACTGGACGGTTAGGATATTAAAACAGTAAATCTCCTACCCATTATTGTTTATTAACCTATTCTATTAACGGTTAATATAAACTTAAAAAAGTGAACTATCATTGATATTACTCACTTTATCCAATAATACTTCAGGTAAATGTTTAACAATATCAAATGCTAATTGTTGTAGTTTTTTTAAAAACATTAAATCTAGCCGGGAACCATCTTTCATTTAAATAACAATTTACTTTGTTCTCAGATACGAATAGTGTTAAAAATCGTAATCGGAAGTTGTGTACTTCATCAGTCTTAAAAACGATAAAGAAGAAATTCATCATGATAATGATATGAAAGAGAATAAGTAGTCACTTAAATATGACTAATTAGAATTGAATTATTGTAAATTATTGAGACACTGATTATAATAGTAATAATAACGAAATGAAATAAAAATATGATTCAAAGTGATTAAAAATATTTTTGATTGAGATCATGAACCGATTGATGTTAGACTACTATTGAAAACCTGGAAGCACTAGACGGCCGTTTCGTCCTATTGCATGACTCCTCAGCAGCGCGCATCCACGATCCCGCCAGTGGGACTCGAACCCAGGGCCTTCGGTCTCGCGCGCGGACGCTTAACCTACTGGACCATTGAGCCGGCATCCAATGGTGATAGTGTCTAACATCAACCAATTTACGAAATTGCGCGACCATCTTCCATTGTACTGAGGTAGATACCTGTTTCTACCCGACATGGATTAGCTCCACTAATCGCGGCTTCTCACTAGAACTCCGAGAATTCCCTCACGAAGTTAGTCACTAGTGAGCACATGTTAATTACTAGTATAGGGGTTGTGGAGATTACTAAGTTTTTGATTGAGATCATGAACCGATTGATGTTAAAATACACAGTAATTAGTAATCATTGTGGATCGGTGAACTGATTTCGCATTTGTAATCGATGAAATCCGACAAATACATAAAAACTGATTGTTGGATAATGTATTCTTAATGCATGAATTGGTTGACTATGTGACTATGATTTCTTTAGGATTCATTGAGGTTCATCAGTCAAATGTAACCATGAAACATTGAAGGTATGTGTGAATGTAAAGAAGATAAAGCCGATTCATAATTCAATAACTTGAAGTAATTTGAATACAAGACTTAGAAAAATCGTTAATAAGATTTTAGATAAAAGTTTACATCGGAACTAGCAAAGAAATAAATTCCTTGTGTGAACTTTCTTGTTTTAGTGTACAAATTCTATAGATGAATTAAAATACTCCAGGATACAAGCATAAATGTTTTATCATAATATTTGGACAATGAAGCTAAGCAAATAACATATAGTATCATCCTTTTGTTGGCTTTGATTTTAAGTATGGATTCATAACAAACTCAAAATAGTTTTAATACTTAAATGTATCGAAAATATCCATAAGTCTTCCTACTACCACCTCCGAATGCCCTGGTACGACCGAGAGTGGGGAGAATCAGCTCTCCCTCTCAAAATACTCTCACACGGCCACATGTATATAGCCTCTGCCAGGGAAGTTCTACTCATTGCCTTATCGCACCACGGGTGTTCTTCAAGAAATTGGAAGGACAAAAAGCAAATGTAAACCGCCTTAACCAGGTTGGTGGACACAAAGAGTCCACCTACGGGAGTTGGAAAACCCTAATTACAAACCAATGGTGCACATGGGCTGGCTCCAGGATCCTGAAGGAACAAATGGCATATGAACCAATTGTTGGTCACCTGCTACCATGGGACTGCATCTCCTTACGATGCTGCATCGCCTTGTGGATCAGACCTTTAAGTCGAAGGTTCCAGGTGTGGCTCCCTAAGAAAACCACCTTCTTCGGTCTGGGCACCCGGGCAGTATCACAGCCCTCACACAAATCAAGTGAGGCGCATATGTATCTGGTGCCCCCTTGTACCAATATCTATGTGTTCAAATAAATAATAAATAAACTCCCTACTACCGAATTGTAATTGTAACTGTCCAGTAGCACCGGACTTAAAGTTATCAATAGTTAGACTGTCTTTTCATCTAGTCAATATCTTTTTAGAAACTATGTCAACAGTTTTGTGTATCTGAATATAAAAATTATTATACGTTATAATGAATTCATTTTTCTATTTTCTAATATTTATCCTTGTTTTACTTAAATTTATGACCAGAATAAATTGCATGAGCTTGTTGAAATAAATAACTATCTTTAACAATGAAGTTGGCGTGACCGCAGTGTCCAAGGAACAACTGCCTGAGGTCGGTCACTCATGATCTTTATGTGAGTAATTTCTGTGTTAGCTTCGAACTTCTTGAGACCTTACCTTCGGAGACGGATATTCGTGGGACAAGGCGAGGTGTGCATTTTTAGGGTCTGCCTTTTCTAACCCCAGCCCTCCTTGTAGGAAGGCAGTATCGCTGTTATGTTGGTTGTCTGAGGGAGACACCTTACTGTCGTCACACCTCTGTGCAGTCAGCAGACTCAATGGTAGTACCGACTTATCTTAGACGAAAAACATTTCAGCTTCGGTTGAAATAGAGAATTTACAGTTTATAATTTTCGATTATAGATTTATTAGAAATAGGTCAGATAACCGCTATCAAACTAGTATGTCTTACATCAAATATGAGTCTACAGTAGCCCGATGATGTTTTAAAATTTACTACGAGATTGACTAAGTCCTATCCATTTTAAAGAAATATCATTCAGCTAAAATCGTAGAACTAGCTTTATTAATAAGCAACATAAAAATCTCACCCTACCTTCTGAATTTGAGTAAACTTCCCTAGAAGACATTTTTATTTTCATTTTCAACTAAACGAGTGTGTTTTCAGGACATTAAACTATAACCACTTATTTCGACACGTTCAGGATGAGCTAGTTTTGATATCTGGCTACCCGAATCCAGTTGAATGAAACACAATTTCCACCTGAAATCAGTAACTGAAAGTTAAATATTTCAGCTGTTAAGCTTTGTCAACTCGGGACGGCTATATCTTATATCTGAACAATTGAGTAGCTCGCTAGAACTATAGATGACGCAATTTCTTAAATGTGTAAGGAGATTTAGTTAACCTCCAGAATAGTAGTATTAGAAGTAAAACATCCCAGGGAACACTAGTCACTGACCTCAAACTAACTAACTAAGCAGATAACAAGAAACATTGAAAATTACGAAGAGTATTTACCAGATGTTGGCACAGTTTGTTTTTTTTTGATATTGTAAACTAATTTTATCACAAATGTAACGAAAAAGTTATCCAAAACAAAGCTAATGACTATAATAGCTTAGCCCGTATCAAAGGAACAGAAAAGTAAAAACTATTAGGCAACTGTATACGTTAGTCACCAAGAACATTTTCCTCTTTCAACTAGAAAATATAATCCAATGACAAACTGAACAGATTCATAGAATATTGACATAAAATAGCTAACTTACTAGATCTGATTGAGAATAATGTTGATTCAATTTGGAAAAACACAGAGTATAATTACTTGTTGGTGCAGATGATTCCAAGTATAGATGCATAATCTAAATTACAGAATGATAAAATAATTTTTTGTGTGTATGAGGGGTGGTGGTGATTAATTAATCAACCTAAGAGGATAACGCTCTAGAAGAACAGAAATTCTGTACCAAACTGATTTGTTTTTGCAAACTTACAGAAACAAGAGGTAGTTTAAATTTTACTTGAACTCAAATATTGTTTCATTGACTACACAGAAAATCCAGACTACAAAACCGTAATATAACGGTTGGATAGTTGTAAGAGTATTCAAAGATTAAGTTGAAAAGAAAAACGCAACAGACAGATAACAATAAACTTTGTTATGAGTATCTCATAGGTTTAACTGTTAAAATGTTCTGAATATAATAACGAAAAACTACATAGTTCTAAACTAGTCTGAACTACTTTAAAACATTAAGATAAGTAGTTTTAATTAGATAATAATGATTTACTCGATGTGGGTTTGTTCTACTAGCTCGAAAATGATTTAATTTGTGATATACTTGAACGAATTGAGCTGATATTATGAACGTCGAAAGCTAGTTAGTAAACCGTCAATTAGATGAATAAATGAGAGATGAACTAAAGAATTTATAACAGACAAGTATTGTGGTTAATTACCGTTACGATACAAATGAAGACATGAGAAACATAAAAGTAAATGAATGATACTATAGCACCTCACTTACACTTCAATTTGTATGCGCTTAATTTTGTTAAACACTTCAATTAACCTAGTTAACAGTATTATTAGAATGGCAACGACGTATTTATATTCTCACATTATTATTACCATGCTTGTATGAGCAAGCATACTTGATTACGTGTTCAGTCAGTCGGTCAGCTACATCGTAGCACAAGGCACATATATGAACCGGTTCAATTTGCCATACCTCATTAGCACGACAAAATGAACACCGGATTCATAGTAGTAATTACTTCAATGGTAGTAATATATAAAAGAAAGATTGTGTATAAGGACATAGTACAGGAAGAAAGAATTAGTTCGTAGAAAGAAAGATATGAAGCGATTTTAATCTCACGGTTTAAAGGAAGGCAAAGAATGTATACACCTACGCCATTGTGATCGATTCTGAGTCATGTCATCCAGAGTCTCCAACCATCGGTTACGAAAGTCACGCGGACCCCAACCATGTAGTCTGCATCTACCAACATGGCTCAGACTAGGGGTTAGTGTCTTCAAGCACTGATGCCACGTTTTGGTTTGACCACCCCTAATTCTCTTCCAACTATCTCTAACACCCGTTAGCATTGCACGACGTGGTAATCGGTGTTCAGGCATGCGTAACACGTGGCCCAACCATCTCAGTCGATAAAGATTAACAACCTCATCAACTGATTAACCATCATTACCTAATACCCTGCGTCTAACCTCACTATTACTTACCCGGTGATCCCAACAGACGCCAGCAATATTTCTAAGGCATCTGTGGTCAAATACTAGTAGCTTACGGGTGTCTTCTACTGTTAAAGGTCATGTTTCGCTGCCGTAAAGTAAAACAGAACGGACTGCCGCGCAGTATACTCGTCCTTTTATTGATAGACGGATATCTCGCCTTCGCCAAAGGTGACGGCAACGCTAAGAAGACGGGAGCTAACTGCCATGGCAGTTTTCAAATTACCTTGTAGATGATTTTGAACGCAAAGTTCATTTTGATCGAATGGCCTGTTTTAACGAGGTTTTCAACAATGGAGCTTCTTATAGAATCATTTCCGGCAAGCTAGGTAATATTCTTGAATTATTTTAGATAAAATAAGCATAGAAACAACCCATATATCTAGTTACTTTGGTGAAATGATTTCTACATATATCAGTTAATCCTATGTATTGTCGTTTACTATCATTACCTTAAGTAATTCGTAATAGTGACAATAAGAACATATAAAACCTTAAATAAAATGTACACTCATGTAGTTAATAATAATAGTATCATGTTCAAGTGCAACAATATAATACATAAGTGAGAACTTACAATACGTCTAGCCTCCTTTAAATAAGTGTTAAGGCATGGTTTATACGGCGATGAATCACTTAGTTTAGAAAATAAATTATTTCCCACTGTAATTAAAGTCTCTAATTGATCTTTATAATTAGCAGATAAATTGCAATTGTTAGAATCAGTCTCAATCAAATCTTCATTTAAAGTTTTGGAAAATAACACCGTTGCACAACACCATACACAAAAAGGTGGTGGTTTAAGACATAATTGACCGTAAAGCTGAATAACTAAAAAAAATAAAACACAAGAGGAAAAATAAATATTCAGATGAGTATGCCAAGTTGTGTAGAAACAATTTTAAGAAAATTTCTATTTGTCAACTGTGGTAATTTTAAATTATTGATGACAATTATTTAACTGATCACTTCGATTTAATTGGCCTGAGACAAGTATTTTTATTGGAAGTTTGTTTTAATTTTCATTATAACAGGAACGAAACAATTCTGATAAAACGAGCATTTGAATTACTTGACCAAGTAGATTATCGTTAACGAGTATGAAGCCCATATCAAGTGGACAAACTTCAAAAGACAGAAATATTAACCAATGAGTTAAGCATCCCTGTCTGAAATAAACCTCTAATTCACAGACGAAATATTTAGTAAAAATATTATATGAGCTGATCATCAAAAAGAGATAAAGCAACGCTGCATCTAAGGTCAGTAAATATCTAATGATGATAAAGTTTTATTTATTACGTAAGTATTCAGAGACAACCCAACTGACCCCACTGTTCACCACTTTGTAATACCGTCCTAACCAATAAATGTCTCATAGACTTTAATTTGACCCAAACTTCAATAAACAAAACTTATGAATAAAAATGGTAATACTGATAATGTAAACTTCATGATTACCTTCTTTTAAAATTGCTGTGTACCCCTTCCGAAGAACAAATATTAGGATGCTATTAAGCAAAAATCTATCCCGACTTTCTGATCAATAGATTGTTAGATGCTAGAACGAACTTACCACACAGGTGTCGGTCTGTAAATGTGCTACTTGGCTCTTCACCTGCATCAAGATCGACTGTGGCACTCTAAGATGTATGAAAAAAACTGGTAAATAAAAATAAGATTTTTAATGTTTAAATAGTGATATCCAATACCTGACAGAAATATATTTAAACAGACGGGTAAGTGATACAAAATTAAGCAGAATCAAACAGATACTCAATAATTTTAGGGTTTCATTCCTAGGTTCGAGTATCCTTGGTTGTTCCATAATCCAATCCCAACCCAAATAACACAACAAGCTGAGGGATGTGATGATTAACCACGAATTGATAAAGCCCATGCTAATTCACTTTAAGTGGTTATACTTAATGTTGACTAAGATACTCCTTTTTCGGTTTATGTTGCATATGACAAGTAAATCCAAGTCGTGTGTGCTTCGATACAGCATTAAAATATACTATACATTTAACAACTTTCCTAAAGTCTACTTCCTTCGGTCTTACAGATCTTGAGGGTGTTTAACCAGCCTGTGATATTAATTCATTATCGTATCACTGTAATCCAAATATAATAGAAAATCACTTCAAACAGACAGTTATTCTGCAAAAGGCATTCAAATCCATAACAAAGATATATTTGGAAGCATTTGAGGAATGCAGTGAAAAATATTGGAATTGTGTTATGTACATAGCAGGATGTTAGAAAAATATTTTGTTTATTTTAATCCTCGACTTTCAGCTTGCCCAGCGAGAAATGCAACCAATCAATAAGGCAAAAGTACTCATGGGCTAAAAAGCTCTGAAGCAAATAAAAGGTAATTAATCTATTCTTACCTTACCCGTCTTTTAAAGCAACTTGAAGATGTTTTGAGTACTATAAGAGCCACGATTCCAAGACAAATTTATTAAGGAATACATATCTGACGACCAACATAATACCTACCAGTAGACAAAAAAAACATAAATTTGAAAAATATATATCATTAAAACATCTAAGTAGTGGAAATTCTGTGAAATTATTGAACATCCTTAACTATGAATGTAAAAATATCCCAATACATTGAATAGATCTACTGCTTACTAGGAAAGCGTTATATACAAGCGCATCGTCTTAACTATCTAAGGCAGTACAAGTAGCCGAAGGAATATATTTGACTCATAAATGGCAATATATAAAACGTTAGAATAGGAAAAGCACTTTAATTACGACAAATATGAGCTCACACTAAAATAACCAACAGACTAGTCAATATTTAATCACGGATCACTTTGCTGAATTTCCCTTCAGGTGTATTCATAACACCAGACCCTAAATGCTATGGTACGACCGAAGGTGAGAAGAGTTGGACACCTGCTACCATGGAACTTCATCTCCTGACGTTGCTTTACCACCTTGTGGATTAGACCTTCAGGTCAAAGGATCGAAGAGTGGCCTTCCAAGAAAAATACTTATTTTGGAGGCGAGACTATAATTTATGGACGAACCAGTCAGATAGAAGATAACAAGTTTTGGCATTATAGCTGATGTCAGTTCGTGATGAAAATCCTAAATCTAATTTTTAACCCTAACCATTAGCTGTAAATGACAATTCTGGATGCTTTATGACCCTCATTTAGTCCTAATTAGTAGTTGTCCACTCTCAAGGTCACTTCAGTTTCACACAAAGGTCGTCCGTAAATTGTAGTCTCGCCGAAAGAACACCTTGAGTGTTTGTCGTTTTAAGGCATTTTGATTAAACGATACACTGCCCCTAATCTATAAATGTGAATTCATATTTAGACGAATATACGCCAGAATGTGTGACAAAAATCTTTGTAGTAACTTACTAGATTATAAACAAGATATATTGACAGGTTTTCAGATTAGAATTTAAATGTCATTCCACTTGAGGATTAGTGTTTTTAAGTCGTGATGCATTTTTCAGGTACAAAGTACTCAAAGTCAAATTCTTTATGCAAAATCAGAATAAACAGTTGCAAACGTGATTACAAATGTGCACAGTAAATTAAGTATCCACTAATAGAATGAGCGTTCCCAAAGGCATTCATTGCAATGATTGTAACAAGTTGACCATGCTTAACTTACAAATCATGGCTTTTTGCTGCGTGGTCTTGGTCAAATTATGGGGAAAAACCCAGGCCATAGCACTTCGAGCAAAAACAAGCACATGCCGCCAAAAAGTGTAACGCACATTCGCTGCAGTTCACAATTTTGCACGGGTTTCTTCAAATTTATTTGAAAGATATGAAACCTGAGGTTCTTGGAATGCATGGCATGCATTGACACGAATACTAAACATAACGTTGTTTTAATATATCTTCAGGAGGAAGTGTCGCCTAAATCCGCTTTTACCAAATGGCTATTCAATTGAGTTTTAATTCTTGCTACTGCTAAATGATATTTCGATTCCGAAGCCGATTTCATTTTCGTATTTATCTTAAGTGTGTTAAAAAAAATCAGGGAGTTGAAGTGGTTTTTCATAAGTGCCTGTCAGTAAAAGAGGAGCCAAGAAACTTGTGATAAGTATGACGATTGGACGCGATATAACTAATGCTGACCCGATACTTCAAAGATTATTTTGACTTTCTCTCGTAACTTACTAAGCTCAGACAAAGCGCCATCGCAAGCTGTGGTAATGTACTGCCCGAACGATCTGTGGAGATAGACCTGACAACCTTATTTTGTAAATAGTTTTTAATATTATTTGTATTTGTTTGTCTATTTTTCACTGTATGTACATTCATCATTAAATGACTGTACGTGTTGTTTTAGTCAATGACCTTGAACACACTTTCCGTTGAGCTACTACATAGCGTGACATATGCTTGCCGACTAACAAATACATTACTATTCACGCATCCCTCGTTCTATTTTCATTTGCGATCGAGTTAACTGAAGTCTAAATCAAATATTATCATTATTTATAGACTGTAATTGGAATATATCACATCCTATGTGGGATTATATCACTATAGCGTTCACTAACTTGCTCAGAATCATCAAGCATTCATAATTGTGGATTTACCTTACCGGACCTAATCAGAACACGCAACGTCGGGTCAATTTAAGTAACGTCCCTAATTTTTATTGTATTTGTAACAAATAACTGTATATATTAATATTACTATTTATCTTTAGTAACTTTGTTTATACTTTTTGCGTTCATATTTGTCTGTTCCACCACACCCTCTTGGCTGTCCATCGAAATAATTCAATTCAACCTTTGGCAGTTCTAGACCTACAACAGACGCTATAGGCTAAATGCTCTTCCCTGATAATTCAAACCTTTGCTCCTCCTTTAAACTAAGATTTTTTACGTCATCTAACCTCGAATTAAGACTAGAGTCACTATCATGATAATCAACCCTATTTGAGTCTGAACCATGACACTTAAGGACATCAAAAGGCACTTGCTTTGTAATAGGGGATTCGTCATTAAATCGACGAGCTTTGAGCTTGATTTCCTTCGACAATTAATTGGCATCACAAACGAACGATCAAATATTTCCAGAAACGATCATCAAAATCTGCGAAACGATTGCCAAACGACTTTGACCAATTAATATTTGTTTAGAACTGTAGGATCCAAACTACGGTTTGGACTGCTGATTTGCCTCTATAGTAGGTTAGACATGCGCCCTTGCCTGTCAAAATCAAAACAAGTAATCGGGTAAATAGCGGTTCTAAACAAATATTACCACCCGGCTATTCGACCAATAATTGTTCAATCAATCAAATCAGTCACAACAAATGTCTGTGGTATTCATATTAGAGAAGATAAAAGAGCAGTTTTCAAGCGAAGGTCGTACACATATTTTGTAGAGAGTAAACTTAGCCTTTGTTGTGAAGAAATTTCTCGTTATGAAACCGATTAGCTGTCTAAATTTAGAAATAATAAAGGAGGCATGTTCTTCAAAGTTCAGCCTCCCTGTGTGCTTAATTCCTAGATCATGTATTGATTTGAGTGTCTGTACTCTACCTTTATTTAAGTAAAGTTGTAGTTCATAGGGATGCTTTACAAAGTGCATGATCCTTCACTTGTTGAGGTTAAATGGTAATTGCCATTTTTCATTCCAGATAGTTAAGTTATTGAAGTAATTTTGGATCAGGGATACACTTTCTTTTGAAGTAGAAAGCTCAAAAACTTCTGAATAGAGCCACAGTTACAAAGATAACTCAGGGGAAGGTCTCATAGCACCAAAATTACCCAAGAATCCTTCGCGTACCGTTCAACTACTGATGAAAAGTATGCTCTAATGGCAAGTTGGTCATTGAAATCAGATGGGAATGTAAGAATATTGCCTGATATACCACTTTCTGGGCAGAATTTTATCAGGAACATTCCTGAGAAGTCTCACGAGACGTTCTTCGCGGAAGAAATATCGTTGTGAAAGGTGTGCTAGGAAGAACGTCCCTGGGTATGGAGACTCCAGTATTCGAGAGTAGAAATCCATCAAGCTGTCCTTGAAGCTCAAAAATATATTGTGTGAACAAGTGGTGAGACTAGTCACGAGGGAGGCAATTCTAGATCCTGGCTGATGACGGTGACACTCACATACTCCTACACTGTTTGCCAATCTTGAAGCATTTCGTGCCATGAGACCACTGTTGCCAGCTAGAATATACATGCATCTGGATAGGCCACATAATGCCATGATCAATCACAAAAGCAAATTGATACTGACAATTCCACTTGCACACTATCAAGAGCATGAAAAAAACGTGTATAGGGAAGGGCCATCAATTTGTAAAACCCTGTGAAGAACCTGTGCATTCACATAAGTGTTAAACAGGTAAATAGAATAGGAAAATAAATAAAGCAAGAACAAGAATAGTTGCAGAATAGTATGAATTCATAATATTTGGAAGTTTCTCGTCAGCTGCTTACAACCAAATATGTTATAGAATTTTATCTTGAGATAGGAAATAGTGTAAAACAATTGACATAAATGAATGTAAATGATTGGAATGACAAAGGTTTACAATAATAACTATATATATATATATATATATATGCAAGAAAAGGTTAGAGGTTGATTAGTGTTAAAATTAAGAAAACAATTAAGGATGGGTTGTGTAATGGTTTAGTGGAGTTGTAAATTGTGTGATAATTTTAGAGGTAGTGAAGGATTCATGGAATTAAGCAGTGATAAAATAGCTTACATAATAAGTGAATGTAATTTGAAGAGCTAACAAAATTCAAGAGGGTGAGTGGGCGGAATTATGTGAATGAGAAGTTGGTTTACGAGTTCGGTTATGGGGGGAGGGGATTATAACAAAAAATAAATGTCTTAAAAATAATTAAGATTACGCAAATAACCAACAAATAAAATAAAAATAAAGAATGAAAATAAAATGAATTACAAGGGTAATAATAAGTTAACTACTGTCCCTTTCTGAATACATAAATCCAGTTAAAGTTTTCTTATCGCTATCGTTTCAGCAAAACGGAGAACAACCGTGCTTGTTTGTCTACTGATAATTTTAAAGGCGTGCGGAATGTTGATGGTATGCCCGGTGTCAAGTAAATGCCGAGCTATTGCACTATTGAGAGCCGTAGTCATTTTTAGCCTCAAGGTTTTTGGAACATGCTCAGAAATGCGAACATGTGCCCTTCTCTCAGTTCTTCCAATGTATGTGCTGTGGCACGTACATGTGAATTGGTAAATGCAGTTGGCGCTACCGAGAAAAGAGGACTTGTCGATTTTAGTTTGTTTGAGAGAACAGTTCGTTTCCCATAACGTTTTCAGTTTAACTGCTGGATAGGCCACTTTTATTGAGGAATTTGTTCTGTGATTGATTATTCCAGTGACTTCATCTCCTTTGGCTCCACTAGATTCATTATCGATAATACCCAGAAAGACTTAACAGATGCAATAGAGAAGCGTCTCTTAAAAAGGTTGAGAGAACTCTTTAAGAAAAATCTAATAGATTACCATACGTATAACGAACCCGAACCAAAAGGGTCATAGTTTATAGTTTATTCTGAAGCAACAAGATGTTTCACGAGGCATGTCGGTTCACAG